CAGACTCATGCGTACCGAATGTGCCAATCGAAACATGTGTCTGACGGAGAGTTAAAGCCGCTTTTGACAGCACTAAAGGCCCGTCCACATACAACTTTGGCGTTGCGTTGGCGCTGGCGTCGCTTTGACAGCGGCGCGCGTAACGCCCGTGCTTGCTACAATGAACGCTTAGCACAGAATACTTTGGTCACTAAATTAACATACTAGCGGCTGATAAATCAAAATTTTTACATCAATAATTGCATTAAAAACTATATTTCTTGCCCGCATTTGATTAAAAATTAAAATTAAATCACATAATTTTGATTATTTAGAACAGCTGACGAACGACGCGCGCGAAAAGTTGAGAGTTGGCCATCTTCCTGCGTTGTGTTGGCGTTGGCGTTGCCCAACTTTGGTTATATGGAGACTTTCATATAAATACATGTATTCATAGTCAGCTGTCGAAGCGACGCCAACGCCAACGCAACGCCAAAGTTGTATGTAAACGGGCCTTAAAAGGAGTTGCCTATACGCCGCTATGTCTGAATTTGGCATCCCCTCAAAACTCATACGGCTGTGTAAAATGACGTTGAGCAATACCACCAGCTCCGTCAGAATTGGGAAAGACCTCTCCGAGCCGTTCGACACAAAACGGGGTTTCAGACAGGGCGACTCCCTTTCATGTGACTTCTTTAAAAAAATAAAATATATACCGGGTGACCGTGTAATTTTGTCAAAGATGAAGACAATAATGATAAAACATTAATACACTATATAGGTCAGTTCATATTAATGGACATAAAATGAGATCACTATCGATAAAATGAAAATCCTCAAGGGGAATTTATAATTTCAACGCATGGAATTTACATACATTTTTTTACTTTCAACCCCCGAATTGCTCGATTACTTCTATTTCTGCAGAATCGCCATTAGGTAAATTGCATTTCCAAAGATTTTTTTCAAAATAAATAGCGATGAGGGATATTTCACCCGCCGGTGATAAGAAATCGCAATCACCATAACGCACATCACTAATATTACTGTTCACAATCACGTGAAATAGAGATTGCGCCAATCGCGGTACCGCTAATCCGCTCTTTGCGATTTTGACTGAATCAGCTGTGTGCGTGACGTCATCTTGGTGCAATTGTTGATTGTGAGCATACGAAAAAACCAAATACCAATTTTAATATATGTGCGTTAGTTTTTCTGCGTGGTTTTAAATAATTATTGAGACATTACAAAGCAAAATGAAGTGCGCCGTGGCAAAGTGTAATAGTGAAAACAAAAGGAAAGCGTGCGATGTAAGTTTTTTTTCGGAAAAGTGGAAGCAGTTCTGCCGGCGAGGAAATGCATGAAGCACTTCACTAGTGAAGATATTGAAAATAATATTTTTAGTGCTGGTATGAGCTAAAGCACCAGTGGATAAGGTCGCCAGGCGCTAATTCAAGCTGTATCTTACCGCGCTGTTACGTACCTAATAAAAAACCGTCGCCAAATTATTATGCATTTAAAAGTTCAGCTATAAATTATGTTTTAGTTACCTAGAAGGGCTACATGTCCAAAGTTATTAGTACGTATTCCTAATTAATCAATCTTTGTATATTTATTGATTCCTGCAAAATTGGGCCATGTAATATTAAAATTAACACATTTTTCTGCATTGTTTACATATTTTAATAACCGTTTTGGCATTTCTCTCGCAATTGCACCAAGATGACGTCACGCAAAAATTACGCTCAAAAATCCTCTCTCATTGGCGCAATCTTGTATTCTATCATTCTTGGTATGTATGCGGAAAAAGAGTAACAAGGTGTTGGGAGTAGAGTACAATGCAAGGAGTACGTATTGAATGAAATGCGGCAAATACACTTGCGCTGGACTCTAGTACATACTTAAATTTAATATCCTAATATTATACATTACATTGAGCTCAATTGCCTTCCTGATTTCTTTTCGAACTCAACAGGACCTTTCTTTTTACATGCATCTAAGTGAATTGAAATAGATTATCAAAAAATTTGTATTGTTAAAAGATATGTACCCCGCAAACATATTCTGAGCGTTCAGAATATATGAGTCCGAAAGGTGTCCTAGGTAGGTAAAAAAATATGAGTTTCAAAAACAAACAATTTTTTACTCTTATATGAATCTTTTAGCATTCATATATGAGCCAAGTTATGAGCCAGCAACTTGTGCCAATATAAAAACAATAAAGATTTGAAATTTATATCTAAACTTGTTTATACAGAAATTGAAAATAATTAGAAAACAAAAAATGAACAAAATTTTGCTTCAGCTGCTGCTATTGAATGCATGTTGGAATGTGTATATGCATGTAAGAATGTATGTATGTTATTTGCAAGGACTTTTTGCGGAATGCCTTTGCAAATGTAGTGAGTTGAATAAGACTCAAAGAGCAACCTAAAATAAGAGTCCGAATGTAGCAATTTATGAGGCCGATAGGGGTCTCAAAAAGAGTCATATATGAGGCCAAAACTTGTTTTAAAAGAGTCCAAAATGAGCCGTATATGAGGCCAATAAGAGTCCAATATGACTCATATTGAGGCTCATTTGATGTATGAATGTAAGCTCATATAAGTCGACATTCGTAGGAAGGGAAACACACTCATATCGGACTCTTAAATGAGCTCATTATGAGCGTAATAGCCCCGAAATAGGCCTCCTTAAAGACTCATTTATGACTCCAAATGTTTGCTGGGATGCTCTCTGGTACATATGTATGTATGTATATACAATTACTACGTATGTATGTATAGAAGACTTAGCACTTCGAGTACTTATTAATAGTTCATTATATTTACGCGTACGCCACTGATATGCGAAAAACGTAAAAAACAACATCGATTAAAAAATAATATAATATGCATGAAAGCGTCCTAAATGTTTTTGGTTCCAAAAGTTATTTGAATATAAATTACACATACCGCGTATTTGACTACGCAGTTAAATAAAACGACTTATTTTCGTGTGACCTGTTTCAGTTGTTTTTTTATTTTATGGCTTGGTTTGGGGGCGTATAAAACCAGTAATTATTAATATCCTACAACTCAACGTTTACACACTTGTTCATAATTCAAATTAAAGTTAATTAAAGCGTTTATGACAATTATCACAATATACATATGTCTGTAATATATATGTAGTTCAATTTGATTCCATTTGGAGAGTTGTGTGTGAAGCTCAGCTAATTTAAAGTCGGATTCCACCACCTTTTTCGGCCACGTGAGTGTTGTCAGCATATTCAATGAAATTGTGCTCTTGACGACGAAGGCGTCATCCATATTTGCCATTCTAATTTTGACAAATATACAAAAGGTTTCAAAATTCAGTTGTTAATTTTACATGACCGTGCTTTCGCAAAAAGACAATCATTAAAGTAGTTTGCGGGACAGTGCGGAACAGTAAAATCAAGAGTGTACATAGTTAGTTGTTGGCAGTTAAATTAATTCCCCTTTTTCGTTCACCTTGATGATCTTGATGCGATCACATCTCTCGGCTAGTACCTGATCAAAATTCTTGCCTTTGGTTTTGGCAAACCATCCAGAATGATCGGCTATTAAATGGTTCACAGAACAGCCGTCACATTGGAGGATCACCACACCGCTTCTGTACGCTGCTTGTGACACCAGTTTACTGTTTCGTGTGTTGCACAATTTGCAGCGATAAACCAATTCAACTTTCCGCTCCATGCAACGTAAGCGTTTCAGGGTCGTTGGCGAAATCGAACCAGATGAGGATAAGGTGGATTCACCAAACTTTTTACCTGTAAACGTGGTTGCATCGAGAATGGATTTTGGTATTTTCAACGGTTCACAAGTTCTTTGATCGTTAATACTGCATTCTGGTGCTGGTGCAGCCGTGACAGCACCGTCCACTGGCTGTGCGATGTTGTAGAGGACATTCTGGCCGTGTTGCCGCACACTATTAAGTGTCCTCAAGCTAAAGAGGTTACGCAACGAATTCATTTTACACGCTCATCACGACGTATTTATGTACATATATTGCGAAAACCAAGTGAAACAAAATATTGCTGTCTAATTCTATTTGTTCATATGTATTATAGTTTGTGTTAATTAGAATTTATATTATTGGATACTGCGATGGAAACGACTAATGCTAAAAAGCTTGTTGCAAAATTGGTTATCATAGCTTTTGGCAGCTGGCAGCGTGTATCGAAACAGCTGAATGCTTCGTTGAAATTGATAAGGAATGTTAACGAAAGTAACAGGGCTGCCATTTCAACATTTACAGTGGCTACACACGACGAACAAAATTTTTTGATATTTTGCGAGCATGCTCGTGAACCACCCTACAAACGACGAACATGCACCGCAAGCCGAGCTTGTGCGCGGATATGTTCGTTGTGTGTAGCCAGTGTTACATTTATTTTTTATATTCGCGGTAAGTCGGAGACAAGGCGAATTAATATAAGGTGATAGCAGGAGTACAAAAACAAAAATGTACATGTATTTTGTTTTTGCTTTGGCGGCATAAACTGTCAAAATCTGTAGGAGTGTGTGTAGAAATTCAAACAAAATTTTTCAATTTGATATCAGAAGCCGTGCGGCGAAACACATACACAAAATCAGCTGAGCTAGTAACACCACCTTATATAAATTCGCCTTGGTCGGAGACATATTGCATTATCGTGAGTTTCGCCCGAACCGGTTCGCTTTTTACCAAGAATGATAGAATTCTGGATCGTGAAATAGATGTTATGAGAACCTTTTTCTTTCATATCAGAAATAAATGATTTCAAAAATTGCTTATTTTGAACTTTAACCTTTGATAATTCTTCTTGTTGTTGTTTGCCCAAAAAAAGAAGTATACCGTTATACTCAGCTCAATCATCTCTATCGATTCCAATGTTTATTTTTTTTTAATTTGAGATTTGGAGCCCAACTGCATTTATGCCAAACTGTTAAATGAAATTGCCTTTGAATTTCAAATGAAATCATAATTTTTCTAAAATCGGATACAAGAGTAAGTAGTCATAATAGAAATATATTTTTTTTTACTAAGCTTTATTAACGTCTATTTCGTAAAATATTTGTTGTTGTAAACGCTTAGCCGAGTCCACACATGTACGTAATGTGAAAATGTTGCCCAAGCCAGCGACGCATTTACACATATCGAAATATGTACATATGTAGGTATGTAAGAGCCAGAGTATTATTTTATTTAAAATACTAAATTTTATACTAAGAAATAAATACATACATACATATTTGTAGATAAAAACAATTACCCCTTCTTTACGCCTCACGAAATGTTTGTGCGAATATTAGATGTAAATCAATTAGTCTGCCAAGTGTGTTCCGATACTTCAGAAAAAATGCCCTTCATGTTTTAGATTAAAATAAGCGCTTGTTTCGTGTTGGAAGCAATATGCTGTAATTACTTATGAAAAAATCACTTGCAAAATTAAAACTTATTACAGCTAACCAAATTGTCGCTCCAACGACGTACAATAATAACACTAACCCTGACCGTTGTTGCTTGTTCCTACTTCAGGTATTGCGAAGACAAACGACAAGCACCCGAAACGTATTAAAGTACCATGTGTAAGGATAGCTGTACCTTCCCAAGCGCCAGCAACCATCGGCGGCTCAGAGATAAAAGTACATTTGCATTCAGGTTTCATTGGTGGTGCCATCCTGAAACAAACATGTATAAATTTCATAGAAATAACTTTTTAAATTTCCTATATATTTTATGCATACCTTGAATTTCGGTCAACAATGTAGTGTTGTCGCTGTATGCCACGTCGTTTATCCAAAATCTCTTGGACGCGTTTCTGTAACTCTACATCTTCGCTTTTAAGTTTTTTGGCTGGCGTAGGTCCATGGTCAGTGAAGTCGCATGAATACAGCTGTCCATTTACTTCTGTGCCATACTCAGAGTAGTTGATAAGTTCATACGTTTTGGTGAAGTCGTCGTAGAAAATTGTGGCATGCTTTGGGGAAATACGACAACAGTGCCCGATGAGAGAAAGATTCACATCAACAGAAGTCTGACCAGATCCAATATGCAAATTGCGATAGCGCATGAAAAATGAAGATTGCAATTCCAAATTGCTAAACCAGCGGTTGTCTTCAAGTATATCGCCAAGCGGAGTTAGAACGGCACGTGCGCGTACTTTACAGCGCATCAACTTCAGTTCAAGGCGCGTTGCTATTTCGTATGCTTTTTCGGCGTCAGTGCGTATGCGTGGTTTGTACTTCTGCTCTTCTTCGTCGGCAGCAACAATGGCAGCAGCAGTGGCTAGTGCTGGATGCAACTGCGGCAAATCGTCGTCTGTAGCTGTTTGATGTTGTGCCAAAATGGATGATGTCTCGCCAGTGAACATGATCGATAGTCGACGTACATCTTCTGGTGAGAGGATTTGCGATGGCAATATTTGAGGTGGATCAGATTGGGTAAGTTCTCTGATACGCTTTGCAGCCGTGCGATTTTGATATTGAACTACAATTTCGGGATGTTCTTGCACAAGTTGTTGTACGCGTTGAAATGCTAATTTCTTTATTAAGTCCACATCTAAATAACGAAGCTCTGCATCTATTTCAACGTTGTATTTAGTATCTTCGTCTGTTTCTTCGTCATCTTCGATTTTTATTTTATCCACATCTGGTTGTTGAGATTGATTTACGGATAATTTTTCTGCATCCTGATCGATTTTTACTTCTTCTTCGCTTTTTATGTGTATGTCTGAAACGCTGTTTTTTACAGATTCCCCGCGCTTGGCACGTTTTTTGTTACCTTTGCCCTTCTTGCCTTTTTCTTCATCTTCTGCTTTCTCTTTATCAGCAATATTGTGGCCACATTTTGACGCCTTCTCGGTATGTTTCTGGCCGTCAGTATTTTCCCTATTATCATCGTCCTCTTCTTCGCTACTGCTTAAGTCAGCTATTTGACCAAGTTCTTTCTGAATTTCACGTAATTTGGCTTTGGCACTTTGAAGTGCTTCCAAATCCTTAAAAACTGATTCAGCTACGCTCTCTTTAGATATTACTTCAGGTGAACTAGGAAGACACTTGCGCCGCTTGACTATGTCGTATCGTAAGGTTTCACGAAGTGATGGTAAGAGAGGTGGGGGATTCTCGTAGTGATACCTAACCATCGGAGGTATTTCAATGGTTTCGCGCGATTTTATTGGCACTTTGATGCGGAAGGGAGGATTACGCATGTGTACGCGTCTAAAGAATTCCATTTTAACCGACTCATGGTCGAAAGGTTGTGAAAATTTGTCCCACAGCCGAATGCGCTCAGTGGCTGAAATACTGCTCACAAGATGATTGTCCTAAAAATGTGTATATATGGTTATAATTTCAGTCTCATGGAAATTTATAGTCTCACAATGAAGTTCTCCACATGGTTTGGGCACATCCATAGGCCAGTTGGCAGAGCAGTCATCGGTGGATTCAGACAATCTTGATGAAAGTATAATGGACAGTAGTCACATGCAACAAGTGGCGCTTTCTTACATGACTTGCGGCAGTAAAAACAAGTCTTCGCTGGTAATGGCACCAGGCCTTGTGGATCTAGCTCATATGGTTTAGAATTACGGCGTACATTACTTGGTTTTTTATTGCCATTTCCATTTTTGCGGAGCGGTTCAACTGGAAACAAGTGCAAAAACTAATAATGCAAAAAATATAGCACTATTGACAAATGTTTTAAATGTACCCTTATCATTTCCAGGAAACTGTGAATGAATTTCCAGCTCCCGCGGTAGCTCAAATTGTTTAGGATTTAATATACTAGCAGCCTTGATGAGCTCATCTAGCGGTGTAGGTTTTTTATTTGGATCCAGTGCTCTTTGTATTCCCACTGGTAATTTTGATAAATATTTTTCCGTAGTGCTAATTTCACTACAAACCGATGCACGGCTGCTGCTGCGTTTTCGTAAGTTACGAAATTTAAATGGTGCCGATTCAGTCTCAATCGAAACTGAAGGGGTACTTGGCCGCGAATTATCTGTGCGTGCGGAAGCTGTTGTGCCAGAAACGCCACGTTCAACAGAGCTTGATTTAGATGGTGGAGTAGGTTTGAGTGTCATGCGACAGTTATGACATAACCACTGTCCGCTCGGTATATCTTCCTCCGTTAATGGCGGATCGCTATGGGAAATAATGCTCTAGCTATAACAAATGGTGTACATATGTGCACACATTTAACACGTGTACTTACTGACACTGCAAATGAAAGCTGGATGGACAACGATCGCAGCACAGAAGATCCCCACCTTCTTCGCAGGCATCGCAAAGGTCATGATTATGACCCCGACCTGGCCGCTTATAATATGGATGTTTTGTATTCACTGGACGCAATGTTATCTTTTCTTCTTCAGATGGCGGGGGTTTAATAAGCGTTTTAATTTGCTGTGTAAAAATAAATTCGTTATATTACCATAAGTTTATAAATATTCTATGTTAAAGTCAAATTATGGATATATACACATGGGCAATTGTATGGCGTTCCAGCATCTGGATTTACATACTGGGACTTACAACTTTCACTACATTTCAGCTAATAGAGCATAGTTTGAATTACCTCCATAATGGGCAAATTCGGATCCACTACCACTTTCGACATGTCTACTATCTTTTAGCTACAAATTTGCCACTAAAACGTTGCTGATTTCTTGCAATAACCAATTTATTCCAAAGGATATTTTGCTGCAGTTATATTGTTTGACATTTGTTCAATTCGATGCTGCGGGAAGTGTGTTCAGTGAATTCTTGTAACCACAATGAGGGTTGTATTTGATAGTGCGTTTATTCACGACTGTTTATTCCACCATGTTCACTACTTTGTTCTTTTTCCAAGATATTAAAGCATGCAACAGCGCTAATTTTTCTTAATTTAGGAAAAAATAGTTTTAATTAACTGGCAGTCTCCACAGGATATATATCTTGATACATATGTCAGAATATAATTTGCCAATGGAGACCGCTCATTACTATCCAAGAGTAATATATGTATATCAGAGCTTATATCTTGCCATCTATTGCCGGCAATTTGCAAGTGTGACAGCTACATCTTCATTTGCACGAAAACTTCGTGGCGGAAACGTTATTGATTTTTTTATGTTAAAGCAAATACTGAGACGGTTTCTATCAAGGCGAATTAATATAAGGTGATAGCAGGAGTGCAAAAACAAAAATTTACATGTATTTTGTTTTTGCTTTGGCGGCATAAACTGTCAAAATCTGTAAGTGTGTGTAGAAATTCAAAAAAATTTTTCAATTTGATATCAGAAGCCGTGCGGCGAAACACATACACAAAATCAGCTGAGCTAATAACACCACCTTATATAAATTCGCCTTGGTTTCTATTGTGGTATGCGAGCTCTCGCTTGCTTTCAACTGTAATTTTTGTTGTTTGACAGCTATGTTCTCATTTCGCAGAATTCTTCAGAGTAGCAACATCGTTTATTTTGGAGGCAAAAAGAAATTTCACGTAAGGATTCACCCAAAACCGTTTCTGGCGTATTTTTCTCTCTTTATGCAGATTTTCTCAAACTTTTAAGAGCCTGCAAGGCTTGAACCTTCTTGTTTGGCTTAATCGCCCCTCGGCAGGCAATGGCAAACCTCCGAGCATGATAAAAATATAGTAAGGTAGAACCGCTGAGAGTCACTTTTAAAATTATTGACGTTTCCAAACAATTTAATTTTTAAATTTACTCACAAACTCACACACACATTTTCATTTTCAATCTCAAGCAACAACGATTTCGAACAATTTCATTTTTTTATTTTCACTTTTATATGATTTTAAAATGTTGGCAAACTTTAAAAAGAAATCATGGCCGACAAATTGAGAGAACGGTTCTACCTAGCTATATTTTTATCATGCCTCCGAGTGTATTTCTGCCACGAAAAACAGCTTCTCATAAAAATACAATCGCCGTTCGGAGTCGGCATAAAACTGTAGGTCCCTCCCATTTGTGTGACAACATCAAGGCGCACGCCACAAATCGGAGGAGAAGCTCGGCCAAACACTAACATATGTGTAAGCGCCAATCTATTATTATTATTAATTCAGAAAATGCCAAATAAATTTCTGAAAACGCCAAATGAATTTCAGAAAAAGTAACATGTATTTGAGAAAACCTTAAACGTATTTCAGAAAAGGGCAAATGTATTTCAGAAACGCTCAAATGTTTTTCAGAAAAGGTCAAATGTATTTCAGAAAAAGCCAAATGAAATTCAGAAAAACAAAATTGTAATTCAGGGAAGTTCAAATGGTTTTCAGGGCAAGTGTTTTTGGAATACACTTGTGCTTTTATGAAATTCATTTGTGTTTTTCTGAAATACATTTGCCCTTTTCTGAAATACATTTCGACGCCTGGGTAAAAGATTGTCGTAAGCGTCATACGTACCTGCGTAACATACGACAATCTTTTACGCAGGCGACGATTTGTGTTTTTCTGAAAATCATTTGTGTTTTTCTGAATTTTATTTGGCTTTTTCTGAAATACATATGAGCTTCTCTGAAATACATTTGAGCTTTTCTGAAATACATTTGTGTTTTTTATGAAATACATTTATGCTTTTATGAAATTTATTTTGCTTTTACCGAAATATGTGTGTGTTGTTCTGAAATACTGTTAGAAAAGGTGTAGTTTTAGTCCGAGGAATTTGGGATTGCACCTAATTATTGCCACTGATATAACTTATATCTAGCGACCAAAAAGACAGCTGGACAGCAATAAACTTTATCCTGTGAAGACTGCCAGTAATAGGAAAAAATCAAACGAAAAAATAAAATGCTGCGACTATTGTGAACTCATCATGAAAAATTTACATCGACAACCCTAAGCAGTACTGAGTCAACAAAAGAATAGAATAAAAATAGAGCAATACTAAACTAAAAACGCAAAATAAATTGTCAATAGAAGCGAAATCAGTACAATACTTATTTGATTCAGTATAAAATGCTTTCGTTTTTCTCTAAGAAGAAGCCAGATTCACCGCCAGTAGAAGTAATTCAAGGTCCTGCGGATCCTACGCAATCTAATGAAAGCGGAGGTGGAGATGATTTCATTTTTGTAGAACGCAAGACTTCTGACAACGATCCTGCTAGGCTACCTACACAAGGTATGGGGATGTATCCACCGATGCCACCCACGTTTGGAATGGGTAAATTTCCGGGACCGCCTGTTTATCCATCGACATCAAGCGCGGCAAGCGGATGTGATACCACGGCGCCAGTCCCATATGTTCAGGGTATACCATTCGAACTGGCGCCCCAACTGAGTACAAAAAGTGACTTTGAAATAACACAATTGCAAGTAGACAGCATTTTAGCATTGCTGACGCGTCAAATGTCGGTGGACGAAAATGAAGAATACAATTTTGCATTGGAAAGGTCGATACAAAACGAGTGCTACTAATGTTTTCGGAGGACGCATGCATGTTGTTGATATCGCTTGTATAAAACAACGTATTTTTATTTTAATTATTATTTAGGTATAAGAAAACCCACGAAATAATAAAATTTAAAAAGCCGACAAAACGCATAATTATTAATGGAGGTGGGCTCCAAATATGTAGGTGGCTCCGGTAGTGTCGATTTGATTTTGTACGAAAAACACAGCACATGATCAATATCGAGGCTATCAAAGACAATTCAATATTTCATTATTCCAAGATAAATTACTCCTTATGATTCCTTGGGTAAAACAAATTGGCATTTAAATTTGTTTGAACAAATCTTATCCCGGTATGCCATGAAGTATTGGTTACTCGAAACTTTTAAGAGCGGTTACTTTCATTTAACAGCAACCCTACATTTTCAACAGCTGATGTTGACATTTTCGGTCTCGTATGTCACAAAAAAAATAGTTGTGTTCGTTTAGAAAGGTCAGAAACGAGCAAGCAACAAAATTCAGAGATTAAATTCTCCCAAAGAGAGAAACATAAACAGTTTTTCGGCATGGTGTATTGAGTACGCCTTGGTTTTTCGCGAAAAGGACTTTGCCATGCCGTTTGGAATAGTAGAGTAACTTAAAACGCAAAAAAAAAAACAAAAAAAATTGCGAAAATATGTCGCATGGCGGTCAGAAAATCGAAAAAATTTGGTTTTTGTTCAAATTTTCCTTAAGCGGATATTTCGCTTGGTTGTTGTATCAGCATACAGATTTCCCAAAGAATTTATGGGGAGTGTTGCTGGAGTGACAGTCCTTGACCAGTTATAAATCTGGGTCGTTCCGGTTACGTAGACCAGACTGTCGTGGGAACGGTTGGTTTGTTAAACCGCTTGTGTGGTGTATTTCGCTCGTAATTATTTAATTTTCCAAACAAAAATTTGCCAAACACTGACCTAAGTAATAAAATATATATGTACAAACTTCTTTCATTAGCAAATCGCAACAAGATTGTACATTTTTAGGTTTAACGAAGTTCTTCCCATCACAAATTTGCAACATCCTCTACAAATGAAATGTCAAACTGCGCTCTCTTTATGCACGTTTTGTAAAACTTGTAAACCTTTTTTGTATTGCGAACAAAACTATTATTAATGTTTGTCTGTACATATGTACGTGATTTCATTTCACTAGCAATCTAAACAAAAACAACATTCCGCGCTTTGACCAGCTTTTGCAACCTATTTTTCGCCCAACCAAGAAATATTACTCACCTCCTTATAATATAGTGTAGACGAAGGTGAATCGAGGTGTTGACGCAATTTCAAAGCAGATCTACTAAAATTTAGGATATTAAGTTAATTTTTCACTTGATAATTAATCTGTCATCGTTTTTTGTTTACATAGCAGTGATATAACAATAATGTCAAGCTCGGCAAAGGCAGGCGATGTCCGTGAGTCGGTACCTGATTCGCAACAGCTGCCACAGCAACTATATGTGGAAACATTTTCGGTGTATGTGGTAACTTGGAATGTGGGCACTCGTTTCCCGGATAATATTTCTTTGCGGTCACTATTGGGACTTCAAGGTGTTGATGACGAAAAGGAACAAGTTTTGCCTGACATTTACGCCATTGGCTTACAGGAGGTGAACGTACAACCACAGCAACAAATGTTAGGTCTATTCAAGGAAGACCCGTGGACGCACAAAGTGAAAAAACTACTTCGGGATTTCGACTATGTGGTCATAAAAACTGAACAAATGCAAGGTTTATTACTTACATTGCTAGTGCGTCGGCCACATGTTCATCATATGCGAGATATTGAGCCCGAGTTCACCCGAACGGGATTTGGCGGTATTTGGGGTAACAAAGGTGCAGTGAGCATTCGCTTTTCGTTATATGGTTGCGCTTTAACTTTTGTTGTGGCACACTTGGCTGCTCATGATCACCATTTGGATGAACGCATTGAAGACTATGAGCAGATTATGGAAAATCACCACTACCATGTACCACACTATCGCGAGATATACGACCACGATTATGTTTTTTGGTTTGGCGATCTTAATTTTCGTCTGATGGGTGATGACAGTCCAGCTGAAGTTTTGGCCAATGTTAAAAAGGAGGAAGTGATGTCTGAACTCATTCAACGCGATCAGTTGTTGCATGTGAGAACTAAGTTGCATAAAGCATTCCATCTAATGCATGAGCGCTTGCCTGCATTCCCACCGACTTTCAAATTTCACGAAGGTACATCGAATTACGATTTAAAGCGCCGACCTGCTTGGACGGACCGTATACTCTATGCTTTGCAACCGCTCAATAAACGCCCCGATGAAAGACTAGCCATCGAACAAAGATCATACAAGTCACATCCAGCCTATAACATAAGTGATCATAAACCAGTGAGCAGCGAATTCAGTATTAAACTTTATCCGAATTATCGAGCAACTTGCGTAACTTTCAAAGAAATCGCTGAGTGGCAAATCGGCGAGGAAAACATAGTGCAATATCTAAAGCCCAATGATTTTGAGGAACGAAATCACGACTGGATCGGTATTTATCGGGAAGACTTTGCTAGTCTGAGTGAATACATAGGGTATGAGTATGTCAATCAAGCCGAGTCACCACCATCGTCGCCGGAACCAAGGCAGGGTACCTTCGAAACACCCGGCACGCATCGGTCAGGTCGGCACCGTCATCGCAACCATGAACGCTTGCGCCGTCAGCAGTTACAGAATGAAGAAGACATTCGCCTCGATTTCTCCGATGACATCAACATGCGAAATGGCGAACGTTACTTATTAATTTACTTTCAAAATACTGGTTTACGTGGCGTCACCAGCGTGGCTGGTGTGAGCAATGTTTTTTCGTGCAATTACGTCGTGAGCAATTCAAATCAGCCTTAAAAAAGGTTGACAATTGCGCTATTTATTAATTAACTTTATTGTTTTGTTTTACCAAGTTTTAGATTGTTTATTACACTACTAAAGTCATCTACACAGTCTGTATACATATACATACATGCATATATTTTGCTACAATTGGGGTATTCACACCTGCCTGGGTATCTGTTTAAAAATTATTATTCTCTATATTTTTGTTGTAAACCGAGTAAAAAACTGATAACCTGGCAGGTGTGGATACCTTAACTATATATGTACATTAGACTGCGCTTTAGTTGTATGGAGAACATTTTTCGTTAAGCTACAACGCAAGATCCCTAGAAATTTGATCTGGTAATAAAAACAAGCTCTGCGAAGAATTTTTAAAATCGGATAACGGAAAGACGTGTCTGAACGCCCCTAAAGTTCAGATTTTCATGCAATTTTTCACAATGTGGTTAAAATTGCCTATAAGTCAGTGGGAAATTTAATATCTTTTAATGGAACTTGAACTTGTTTTGTCCCCCAATGTCAAATACGGCTACAATATTTTTAAACCTTCGCAACTTTTAAAGTTATTGAGGGTTTTCGCACGTAAAATTAAAATTTTTTAGGATTACTGATGTTACAAATCCTACAAAGCAAGAAAGCAAGACTCCCCCAGAAATGTTCATTTGGTCATAAAAAATCGGATAACGGAAAGACGTGCCTCAAAGGCCCTAAAGTTCAGCAAACTTATGGAATTTTTCACAAAGCAGTTAAAATTGCCTATAAGTCAGTGGGAAATTTAATATGTTATAATGGAACTTGTTGGGTAGGTACGAAGAAAAAAATGTAGTAGCGAATTTGACACGTAGATCATGGATCCACAGTCTTGCCCCTAAATTTCATACGGGAACATTCCGCCATCCTGGATTTTATGTTTTTTGGGGGTTTTGTGCGATTTGCAAGCTTATTTTGAATTTTTCGAACAAAAGGGCTGTATACACATTTGTAGAGAATTTCATTTTTTCTCCGTACCAATTTGATCTAAATTTACTGGGCTAAAATTTAACTTCTGAAATCCTAGAAAGTTGTAATTTTACGTGGAAAAAAACCTCAATAACTTTAAAAGTTGCGAAAGTTGAAAAATATTGTTGCCATTTTTGACATCGGGAGAAAAAACTACATCAAATGCCATTAAAATATATTAAATTTCCCACTGACTTATAGGCAATTTTGACCACTTGGTCAAAAATTCCATGAATTTGCTGAACTTTAGGGCCTTTGAGGCAAGTCTTTCTGTTATCCGATTTTTTATGACCAAATGAACATTTCTGGGGGGGAGTCTTGCTTTGTAGGACAAAGTTGCAAAATAAGGCGCAGTCCAATGTACATATATATTTTTCAGAAGTTTAATTTTAAGGAAAAACATTGGATTAAGGGATGTCACTTCTAAAAATACTAATCTACTGAATTAATCATAGACAAAAATAATTTGAGAATGTTTCAAAACGCATTTAATCATTGTTCCACAACATTCTAAAGTGCGTGATAAATATACACTAATACAATGAAAAATGTACATGATATGAAAAAGTTTAAATAAATGTTTTACAATAATAAAGAAATGAAATATATATAAGATGATTTTTCTTTTTCAATACAGTACATAGGAGTCCCTACATACATATTAGAGGCTTACGCCGACAGACTTTGCCGCGGCGGCGTTGACAACTTTAAAAATAATCGGTGGCGGCGGCGCAACTGCCCATAAGGCAGATTCCAAAGAGCCATGAGGCTACTACTAATTTTATCATGTGATCTCGTCAGCGTTAAGCGTTCACAATGCTAATTCAGATTATAAATTTATTTAATTCGTTCTTGAATTAGTTTTACATTTAAAGTTAAATATTGCTGCTTTCTACTTGAATTGAAATGTTGAGTGCCTAGCGCTGATGGGTGGGCGAACAGAAGGTATGAGGTTTGTACATAATGTGACCAACTATTTCATGGCTTAAAGAAGTACAGGACCTGAGAACAAAAAATTGTATGAAAATAATGAAAAAATGGTAAAAGCAGAATATACAACAACGTTGACAGTGTACCAAATCCAACAACGTTAATTTTTTAATTAACAAGGAAAGAAGTATAAGATGGGGCGGATTAAATATAGTTTTTTTTCACCTTTCTTCAAACTATGTACATGAGAAGCCGATTTCAAACATTTTCGATAATATGCTCAATTAGACTTAGTGATATATTTAAATGAACTGGGCTTGGTAGAAATCGATAAATTGCTTACCGAGCATAAGCGGTGTCGTGCCCATTTTCCAAAATTCTATTCATATAATAAAATTTTTACAGGCCGATGTCTGTACATAATAGATATTAAAGAAAAATTAATATGGGCGGTATTTATAAGAGCAACAGAAACCAAATTAAGATTTTTTAGAAATTTTGATTGTCTGTGTGTCTGTACAGAAATATAAAGCAGTTTTCACCGATGTATTGCTTGAAGTTTAACTTAAAATCTAGAAGAAGAAAAAAATTAGAGAGTTGCCACCTGTTTGAAAATTACAGTTTTGCTAAAATTGATAGATACATTAAATATTGCAATATGGCTGTCAAAATAAAGAGGTTTCAAAAGGCTCACAGCCGAAAATTTTTTTGGGAAACGTTGCCACCTGTTTGAAAATTTTTGTTTATTTTAATTAATAAGATAAATTAAATATTGCAATATGGGTATCAAAATAAAGAGGTTTAAGAAAGTTAGCTACTGGGAATATTTGAGGAATATTTTAAATATTACAATTCTGGTGTTTACTGTCGAAAATACTTTGGGAAATACTAGTTGCGATCCCGTACGAGGTCGGACTAGTCAGAAATACTCAGAATCAGTCAGATTTTACTGGAAACCAACCAAATTGTAAACAAAAGAAAAGTGCACTCTGCTAATTCATGTTGAAAAGTATTTAATTACTTGTTTAAGTGAATTCTAATGAATTTGAAAATGTTTTTGGTTATTTACATGTAAGAGCTGAGTGTGTTTACATACAAAATAGGCCAAAATTTTGAGGTTATGTTTAAGTTGACAGAAGTTACCATTTTTTACTAGAAAGCGATCCCGTACTTTTCAATGTTACTCTCTCGCTCTGAGCGAATTTTTATTTTTTGAACTATTTTAAAAACTTAATTCAGTTAAATTGATAGGATAAGGTAAATATTGAATTAGTACACCTTTGAAGAAAGTTCGCGATATGTATGTAGACTGGAGTTATAAAAATATAAATTAAATTTCCATGAGAAAGCCGAGTAGTATAAAAAATAAAGAATGCTTCATAAATCAAAAATTTGTTTGAAAATCTCCCATCATAAATCTCTTTATTTTATTTTGCAAAAATTAGGCCATACAAGTCTTGGAAGGAGCGAACAATCCAAATATACTTTCCTCATGCATTTATTGATATGAAATATTAATTTATCTGTGGTTAGTATGTTAATTTAGTGGCCAAGGCATTCGGTGCCAAGCGTTCATTGTAGCAAGCATACTTTTAACGTGCGTTCTGTCAAACCAACGCTAATGCCAACGCCAAAATCAACGCGAAAGTGCTATGTGGACCGGCCTTTAAACACATTTTTATTGATTGAATAGTCACAATGAAATTTGTCAGCTACAGATGTGAAGTGATTGACAGTCATAATTTACATGTGTGTTGATCTACGAGTACCCTTTTTAACTGAGATGACTAACTTTTTAGAATCAGTTAAAGAAAACTTAACTTAAAAGGTAGAACAAAATATTGCAAAGAAGTACATCTGACTGTACTTCGAAGTACGAAGTACAACGGCTCAAAAATAAGTACTGTGCTTCCGGAAGAAGTACGGTTGGTCACATTATACATACATGTATTATATTTGAATTGAAAGAAATAAAAAAGTTAAGTTATTGGAGTAATTTAAGTCGCTATTAATAAATGTTTGTAATAGTCTTATCTACCGTTATGTTAAATTACGAAGTTCTTAAAATTTTTTGCATATTGGTATATTATTTTTGATACTGAAAACTTGATTTCCGAGCTGTAGATTGTCCACCATTTTGAAAACAAGAGTGGTAAACTTTTTTGCAACAGTTTAACCTATAAAATCCCACCAGACCGGTCCTTTTCGAACCAATGGTGAAAAAATGGCTAATAGATGATTAAAATTTCCAATAAAATATTAAGCGCCAAATTTTGCTAAGGAATAATACTCTTATGAGGTCATCTTATTTTCTAGGATTAATCAAAACGTACGAAACTGTAAGAATACCTTGATTAAAGGCCAGTTTTTTGGTGCACGGTTGTGGTTTAAACTTAGTTTAAACGGTCGGGCTGACTAGTTTAAATTAAGATTAGCCAATCAAATGCCAGCCAGCTGTTCAATATAAACGCAGTTTACGTAATCTAAGTTTAAACTGGCACTGAAAAGCTGGCCCTAAGTGTTATGTCATAACAATTTTGAACTATTTAATCTGATTTTTTAGAAAAATTTTGAAGTTACCTGAAATTCTAAGTGGCTAAAGAATCGCGTTGATTTTTAATTTTTGCTGACGACTTCTTGCACATTTTACCAAATAAACTTAAATTTGTTGTAGAATAAAATGCGTAAGACAGTTTGAAAAAAATAAAAATTACAATTCACGATAGTTTTAGGGTGGTATTATCACTTGCGAAGCGAATGATTTTGGCGAAGCGAACGGTTTGGCGGAGCGAATTTAAGGGCAGGGAAGGAATTAAAAGCTTTCGCGATGCAAAGAACTTCCACAAGCTGGTAAAAAAGAACACTCTTAATGCATATTTAAGTTGCGTCCGCCAATCCATTCGCTTCGCCAGACCGTTCGCTTCGCCAAATTCATTCGCTTCGCAAGTGATAATACCACCCTTAATAAATTGCACTTGTTATATAAAAAAAAAACTACAAAAGCCGTCAGCAAAAAAAAAAAAAATACTAAAAATCTACGCGACTTTTTAGCCGCTTATAAATTGCACCTGTTTTACTAGAAT